AACCAAAATTAAACAGAAGATTTTTAACTTTTGATGCCCATGTAGTTCTACCACTATCATCTAAAGACTTGAGCATAAGGTAGCTTTGAAAAGGTAATCTGTCATGAGGAAGTTGTAACAATCTACACCAATATTTGATTACTCGGGTCATATAATTAAGTTGCAGGGGCAATCTGCCACATTCACCCAGGGCCATGGAATTACAAGATGTCCTATTTATTTTCAGATACTTTTACAAAAATCATGCTGTACCGATTCAATACTTTTACAATAGGAAGTTCCCCATATTTCTGATCCATAGCATAATATTGGTGTGATCAGTGCATCAAAATTTTGAATAGATCTATACAGTTAATGTTTCCGAATTTCCTTTGAAAGTGATTAATTGATAAAATTGCCTTTCTAGCTTGAGAAGCTAAACATAATTGTGCCCTGGACCAAACAAGTTTTGGTGTAAATATGATGCCAAGATATTTATAAAAGATACTGTTTCTATTTGTTCCCCATTAAAATACCACTTTTCATAAGATCTAAGAGGCCCACCATTTCTGAAAACAACCACTTTTGTTTTCTTAAGGTTTACTTTCATTCCTGTTTCCTCGCAAAATAATTCAAGGGCATTTATCTTTTCTGCAGTTGAATACAAGTGTCCGAAAGAGCCGAAACATCATCAGCAAACATAAGGGCATACACATTATTGAAAACAGCATTGACAAATATTCCCTTACCACCTTCATTTTCCATAATTGTGCATAAATGATTAATAAATATTATAAATATCTGAGGGCTTAAAATGCATCCCTGGCGGGTACCCACATTACAAGAAAATTGCTTAGAAAGTCCCTCAGGGGTTCTAATGCAGGCACATAGTGAATTATACATACATGTGACAATATCTAAGAACTTCCCATCTAATCCAACCTTATGAAGAGAATCTATAAGTATATCATGTTTAAGAGTATCGAAAGCTTTTGAGAAATCGATAAAAAGACAATAAAATCTGCCCTGTTTTTTACATGAATATTTCTGTATGACAGCCTGAAGTGTAAAAATGTTCTGTTGTAGAATAGTTTTCCCTAAAGCCAGCCTGATATTCACAAATGATATTATTTAAATCACACCAGATTTTTAATCTTTTATTTAGAATTGATGTAAATAATTTACAAAGGGAATCAATGAGGGATATACCACGATAATTATCGGGGTCGTTCTTGTCGCCAGATTTCAACAAAGGGCAAATAATGCTCTTACCCCAACTGGGAGGGAAACAGCCAGAGTCATAAATTCTGTTGAAAAGAACAGTGAGAGTAGGAACAATGAAACATCTCGACTCCTTTAGAAATTCATTTGCAATTCCGTCTGGACCAGGGGCTTTACTGACTGGCAAAGAGAGAATAGTTGTGGATATTTCTTGTTCGGAAAATGGTTGGTTCAAAAAAAGAATCATTGTTGTTTGTAGATTGTAAAGGTGAAGGTAAATGTTCTGGTGTGTTTTGCGAAGTATTAATGCATAACAGATTTGAGAAATGATCTGTCCACTGTTGGCATGTGATATTGGGTGAAAGTTGTGGTGAAGATCTGTAATTTTTAAGTGTTTTCCAAAATAATTTAGGGTTGGTGCTTGCTGCTACTAGTTTATCTTTCTGTTTATTTTGGAAATTTAATCTTTTTTTGCTTGAATGTACATTTGAATAGTGTTTGTAACTGTCTGAAGATATTAAAGTCTGCATTGTGATCTCTATGGGCTCTGAGTGCTGCATATTTGTCATGCTTTAAGTTTTCTAAGTCCTGATCCCACCAAGGTGGTTGAGTTCTTGTTTGTGAAGGAAATAAACCATTATATATGGTTTTGTGTGATCAGCTGCTTTCTGGAAAAGAGTTACTAAATGTGAAAGTGCTTGGTCGATATTGTTATGGATGAGGGCATTTAAATGACTGTATTGATTATTAAACAATGACCGAAAGTTTGTAATGAATGCACTGTTTTCATCCTTGCACCACATATATTTTGTCCATTTATCCTGTTTACCCTCTTGTACATTACTGTTTGAGGTAAGCGTATTAGAATAAGCAGTGGAGGGGAGTTTACTGTTAAGTGTGTTGATATTGAGTGTGCATGACAGTGGAAAGTGACATGAGTTATCTAATGTGCCGACATTAAACTGCGTGATGAAAGGGAATAGTGACGAAGAAGCTAGCATGTAGTCAACTACACTGCAACCGTTATAAGTAAAGCATGTGAATTGACCACATAAATCATTTGCTAATCTACCATTTAAGGCATGAATGCCAAAAGTGCAACATAATTCAGCAAGTTTTTCCCATAATTATTATAAACCTGATCTCTAGAAGATCGAGGCATATCAAATGTATCTTTGGGATAATCATCATTTTCATATACACAGTCAATATTATCATCTGGTATATAATCAAAGAAGTCTTTCATTCTAGCATTTAGGTCACCCCTAAAACAGATGTTTGTCAGGGTGATCTGCAGTGATTGTGCACAGATAATCTTCAAGTACTGACATGCCATCAGTGTCACTACCCTTATATATGGGAGAGTTTTCTGGCGACAAATATGGGAATATCAAAATAGTGTCCATTTCCCATCCATAACTAGTTGTGTAGAACAGAAGCACAACACAATTTTCGAAATGAGTGTAGATACGGCTAATGAGACCGCTGGAAAATAAGTGGTCCTTAATCAAAACAGTAATGCCGCCGCTATATCGGCCAAGCCGATGCAGTTTTTCACGCACACAGTTTATTGTTGTATAGCCGACAAGAAAATCGCTGAACTCATTGGCTTTGCGTACGAACGACTCACAGAAACTAATAATGTCGAACTTGGCACAATATTCTTTAATGGGAGATAACGGATTGTCGTATTTATGCAAACCTTCAATGTTCCAGACAAGAATATTTATTCCATGTTTGTTTACATCAGGGCCTTGGCCACTTCCTCATTTGTTCGGATTGAGAGTGGCCTCCCTTGCTGTTGATCTGCTTCCGGGGGTGTGTCGATCAGCTGATGGTGTAAACAAAGATCCACGTGGTGTAGCTGAAGCTGCGTCGGTGTATGAAGAGGGTTGGCTGGTAGGTGAATGAGGGAAGGAGGAAGTTCTACCTGCAACCTGAACAATGTCTTTCTTGCTTCTATCGTACACAAAAAGAAGCTCCGTCTACGATAAGTTTGTTGTGTCGGATTTTCACCCTCCGGTTTTCGTCTCGAGCTTGGACAAACCAGGGTGAAAGAGCACGTCTTTCTTCTCGGACTTTTTTGAGTGAAGTCCTCTGTGACACGGACGTCCTTACCGCTCAGTTCTTTCTTGGATTTCATGTAGACAGCACTTTTATCAGATGTTCTCATGAAGTTTGCTATTATTGGTGAAGTAGTTTTAGTAGGATTCAGACGGTGAGCTCTTACTATCACAATGTTGTTGATATCCTGTCTGCTCATGTGCAGCGAGTCCTCCATGAAATCACGCACTACATCCTCGGTTTGTTCCCAGGTTTCGTATGAATGACCTTTCGGCTTCAATCCGTGAAAAATCAGGTTATTTCTTCGACTTCGTGACTCCAGGTCGTCTAGCTTATCTTCCATGCAACTTAATTTATCTCTCAATTCGCTATTCTCGGAGCGTAGCTCGTTGAGTTGAATTTGAAAGTCGGACGCCATTTTGTCTATTTTTGAATTAAGCATGTCAAAGTTTTTATTATTGTCACCTTTCATTTCAGTCAGCATCGTGATGATTTCATTTGGTTCCCTTCCACCTGCAGCAATGCCCAGTGAACCTTCCCGATCGCCTGTTAGGGTTTGTTGTCGGGTGTGGGGTCCCGGTCCTGGGTTAGCCTCCACCGAGCCACATGTCACCAGCAGAGTACTAAAAAGCACTAGAAGCCTCAGGGACATCACGATGAGAGATTGTTTGGTTTTAAGTCCATGAATCGACGTTTTGCGTTTGTCAGGTTGATTAAACGAGCCTATTTTTGCTCGATATTGGTTCAAACAGATGCCCATTATGTGAGCTGTTCAAAACACGTCTTCTCTCAACTCGCGCATGTTGAACTAGTTTCTTAAGCTTCCTGATGTACATAGTGAGTAGGCAGATTTTGAGATTGCTGTTATCAGAACAATAACATATATGTTTAGGGACTTGTAATGTAGAAAAAAAGATTGACATGCACAATTAGTGCCCCTCACTGTCAAACCTTAAGGTTTCAATATATCGCAATACGTATCGCAATACGGGTACATAAAGGGTCACTTTCACAATCGACTATAGTGTCAAATTGCATTTTTATGCACGTTAATATCTTAAAGTTTTTATTAGGATACCAAGATAAAAAGTCAAACAAAATGGAGAACGTGAGGCTGGAACACAGCAAAACCAATTTGCTTGGGGTTTACAGATAATAGGTAGAAAAATAAAACATAAAAACACATTGAATAGCCAATTTCTGGTGTCCCCCGCCGTAATAATGATTGACATTTGCTGAAAGCGGCGTGAAACCATACTCACTCATTCACTCATTGCTGGTCGTAAAATGCACTAAATTGGGCGAACTGTTTACCGTAGGTTACGCCCCTGTGTCAGTGGTGGACGGGAATATTTTTAGAGGTACGGGGATCGATACCCCGCATCTCCACCATGTCGTAACTGGCGATTGGGTGTTAGTAAACCCTACCACAGTTACCTATTAATTATGGTCGTTCCACATTGTCGGGGAGATGGTAGCTCTGGCGCTCCACTCGCTTGGTCCGTTGCAGGACGCTAAGTCAAGGAGTGAGGGTTCTGACGACCGTGACTCCTAATTAACCACATAACAGTCATGTACTGGCACACATACATTCAAAGAGAAACGCAACAACAAGTTTATACTCACATAGTTTTTACTCAGTCTCAGTCCATCTCTACAACTTCAACATCAGACAAGGCAGGTTCGTACCACACGAGGCAACTGAGTGGCGTGGACTGGCTTCCGTCACTACAAAAGCGCGCACCACTCGCTCAGTGCCCAACCTATCTTTTTATATGGTTCGAGCCTGGCCTGATCTCGATCACATGTTTCAACTAATCATTTTGATTCGGTTAGCCTATATCCGACCTTGCACTCATGAATATTACGATTGGAAAAGTACCGGTAAAAATCATTCGGTTACTCATCCCTTTTGTTTGTTTCAATATAAGATTAATCTGTTATGTCTTTCACAACAAATGTGTTCTGTCTCTCTTTCCATAGCCTACGGCTAAACGCCATTGTATGGAAACTTTCCGTCTCCATACCGTGCCTAACCGTTATGACTCATGAACAACTGCAAATCTAAATACGAATCTGATATAATTCTCTCATGGTTTTGGGGATGAATTTTTACCTTATAACAGTAAGGCAACGGTAAACTGTTGCGGGAACAGCCTCGAACAAGTGAACACAGATAATTCCGGAATACAATTACGCGATGTATAACTGATTTTATAGGCGTCAGTGGGATACACACTTGAAACGAAACAAAGTTCTCATAACCAGTGACCGCCTCCGTGGTGCAGTGGTTAGAGCGTCCGCCTGGAGACAGGAAGGTCGCGGTTTCGATCCCCGGCCGCGTCATATCAAAAGACGTAAAAGTATGGTACTTTTGGTCCCTGCCTGGAGTTCGCAATTAATGGGTACAACAAGGACTAGTCGGTTCGGAGTCAGTATAATGTGTCGGTGTGGGGTGTTCATGCTTCACTGCGGCATGGTATCTCAGTGAGCTTGCACCATAAAACCAGTTCAAGTCAGGGCTAGTACAAGCAACCACACATACACACGCATGCTCGTTTCCATATGAGCGATATATACTCAAGTACGACGTTTAACCCCATTTCACCTAACCTCCCATAGTCAGTTGTTGGTACTGTAATTTCAATACATGAAATTTAAACTGTCAATCAAATTTAAACACACAATCGGCATTAAGACCTACAGGAAATATCTTTATTTATTACCAGAGGGAACACGCTGCTTATCAGATTTCTCATTAAAACTAAGCTACCTCCTGATAAGCATAATACCTGCTGGTGACCCATGTCATCGTGACCCCGTGTGTAAATCGATGTCATGTGACTCTCTGGATTGTCAAGTCCGCAGTCGAATATTTACAGATCGCCGTCATATTACTGTAATATCGCTGAGTGCGGCGTTAAGCAACAAACCAACCAAACCAAGCATCTCCACTGATTCAGCTGAAGTTACACAAGTTTCGAAATATCTACTCGGGCCCGATACTTCCGGTGATATGCCTGTATTCAAAGAACTAGTTCTGGTTCCAAATTACGCTACTGCCAAATATGACTTCACTTGACCGGACCATGTGTATTACCGCGCTTGGCTGCACAGCTGTTAACCGTCGTAATAGGTGGCTAATTCAGGGATGATCAGATGTGTTTTTGTAGCCTGCTGCATGTCATAGTTTTCATAGAGTCACATAGCGTGTATCGAGTGTGATTAGCCAGGACATGTCCCTTGTAACAGTGCTATCGTTGATTGTCACCGGAAGTACTAAACACTGTGAGAGTCGTGACCTACTTACGGGCCCCATTAGTATCGACCCCCGTTAGTATATATGGATTAAACGAATACACGCATTAGCATTTCACAATAAGTTGGTTTAAAAAAAACAACCCCAAAATCAAATACTTCCATCTATGAAAACATGTACATTGTAGCAATATCGATCACACAATATTTGTTTTTATATAAAATGAATCATGTTCTCAATTACGAAAGTATTAGTATGGTATATTGAGTACGCAGTCACTTTTTGTATGTTTTTGTTTTCATTAAAGTAATGATTACGTTGCAGCTTCACTTCACGAGAAGATGTGCACAACGCATATCCCTTGATAATTATTAGTTATACAAACATGTAATGGATCGGTGTTCGGTTCTCTGCAGGAAATAAAAGTATCAAGTCGGGGGCTCGCGGTACGTGTTTGCCTTTTGAGCGCAAATAGAAGTAATGTCCTTCTACGTTGTTCAACGATTTTGAACCTGTAGAATCAGTATGGGGCTATGGTGTGCTATGTTTAGACCAGTTCTAGATTTAGACAGAAGCTTTATTTAGACCATGCCTAGGCGTAGCTGCCAGTTGGATTAAATACATAGAACTTATGTTTCACGTTAGTTATAGATATTTTCAGAATGGAATAGTTAATTGGATCACATTTCATTGTTGTTAGTTGGTTTCATGCCAAGTTCTATTTACTCTTTTGTTTCACCTTGGGAATGCATGAATACCACACTCAGACACATTATATTGACCAGTCCTTGTTGAACCCATTAATGCCGAGCGCCAGGCAGGGACCAGCAAGTACCATATTTAACGTCTTTTGGTATGACGCGGTCGGGGATCAAACCCGCGACATTCCGCTCTGTAAACACTACACCACTGAGGCGGTTTCGTCTTTTGACCAATGCGTATAGATCAAAGTATATCTGAGTCTTGTAATCTTGTACATTTTGATATAATTATCAACTTCGAGGCGACGTGAAACATCACATGTCTGTATATCCTATATATTTCGTGACTACTGTTACGTTGCAGGTAACTACGTTCCTGTCAACTAGACGCCTTTCTGTTGTTCTGATGTTGATGAGTTGGATATTTTACGTGGAAATCACAAAACGAGACTCTCCCGCTAGAAAGATTTCGCGTATGGTACGGACTTGATATTATATCAATCACATTGTGCGTTACAGAACTACACTAAATAAGCGTGAAAAACAAGTAACAGGTGTAACCAGTGTGTCAGATGCATTGTGAATCATTTTACGACCTCATGAAACAGGGGCAGTCTGTGACGTCTTAGTTAAGGTCATGCTGCCTACACCTCGCCATAAAATATATAAATACGGTGTTACTAAAGTTTAAAATTAAAATTCATTGGTAAATACCAGCAAACAGTATAACACATAAATACAACTTGTAGATGTACAACCTAAAACTTTGCCATTTTCATTGTTGTTGCCTTTTTGTTATGATATTGATATAGAGATGATCAAAAGCAAAATAAAATACATGCAGTTTTCTGTTATGTGTCATGGCCGTTTTATCTTCGCCAAGAGGCCGTTTTCTCTAGCAGCGGTGGACGTTTTCTCGAGGGCGGTGGCCGTTGTCTCGAATTATTGTTTGGCAGTTTTCGCTGGGTTCCGTTTTCACTGTAACCCGTGTCAGCAACTGGGGACAATTACGTTGCATGCGTGTTGTCTTGTTCGTTCTGTGTATTGTACATAGTCCATTATGACAGGTGTATATTATATTTACTGAAATGTATCAAAATCATAATATTTACCATGAAATAGTAATTGTTTTCATAATATTCTATTTAATTCATATCCAAAGATTCATGTTCATTTTGTTAACGGTATCATATGCAACATGGAGTTATCGCCCTTGATAAACTCTAAACTATGGTCTGGGACGATTGCTATAAGGATTTGAAAAGTGAATTTGTAGTTAATTCCTGTGTAACATATGTCATACTAGAAGAAGGATATCTTCAAGCCGACATACAACTGGAATATTACCGAGGGCGGCGTTAAACAACGGAATATTTCATCAAGCACGTGATGTAGTGTGGTGGTCGGTGGTCATAACTGAGTGAGCCACTTAAGTACCCCCCTCTCATATTCACAAAGAGCCTTCCCAATACACAGGCGCACGCACGCACGCACGCACACACACACACACACATACATTAAATACATATGTGTGTGTGTGTGTGTGTGTGTGTGTGTGTGTGTGTGTGTGTGTGTGTGTGTGTGTGTGTGTGTGTGTGTGTGTTTAACCATCTATCATCTTCTTAGACCCGTGAAGGTCCGGGTTAGAATGAGCCTTCAGTAACCTATGCTTGGCGTAAGAGGCGACTAATGGGATCAGGTGGTCAGGCTCACTGGCTTGTTTGACACAAGTCATCGGTTCCAAATTGTGCAGGTAGATGCTCATGCTGTTGATCACTGGATTATCTGGTCCAGATTATTTACAGACCGCCGCCATATAGCTGGAATATTGCTGAGTGCAGCGTAAAACTAAACTCACTCACCAACTAACTCACTCTATCATCTTCATGTTGCGTTCATTATATGTTGTACTTGTTTGCAGTTGAACGTCAGCCTACTTATTGTTTCTTCAGTCCTCTGATTTTTCACCTTCACCTGGATATCCCCCTGGATTTGCTACCCGTCTTCCGATTGGCCGTTTGGTCCTCTTCTCTGAACCTCCCTTCTCACCTGCAATCTTCCTGCATTCTGCATGGGCTGTGATGGAGGGAAGTTTTAGGTAAGTTACAGGTGAGAAACATTTCAGTGTTCTTTTCTTTTTGCTTCCTATTCAGGAAACAAATATAATTTTAAAATGGTATGACAGGTTTGTCATAATAGTCAAAAACTTAAGTCAAATATTATTTTGTGTATTCCGTCATTATTAACCAGTTTACACATGTTTTGCAACATCGATTGAGCGTGACGAGCGGACGCTTTAACTATACCACCGCCAAATCTTCAGCATGATCTCTAATGATGGTAGGTTCATTCATGTCAGCTTACCTCCAGTTCCTGACACTGAAACTAAATCATCTTCATCAAGAACTGAATTGTTTTGACAAGTAGCCCGGCTTCACTCGCATCGGGTAAGTTCAATTTGATTTACAAAACATGTACACGGTTTTCTATATAGTATTATGATTTATTTATATTGCACTTGGATAAGCATGTTTTGTATATTAATCACAAGGAAGTTTACAAGAGTAAAGATATTACTTGCCACATCTCCGGCTGGTTGTCGCACAACTTGTGATTGAAACCATATCGACCAACACCGACAACACCAAGTGCGAACGTTTTCGATGTACGGAGCAATTGTTTACATTCCACATATGGCATGCGGTCTCTGTTTGGAAGCTGTTCGCCTCGAAGTTTCAATTATCGATTCCAGGCAAGCCGTAAGGGACAATAAGTCCTTTATTGCATCAACGGGAAGCTAACGTGAGTGCATATAGTCCAATATATATAATATAGGCCAAAATATTGTTGAAATTGTGTGACATGGTGCTCCCAAAGGCACCATGTAAAGTTCCCTTGCAGCGCTTCCTTAAGTTTGTATCACAATTCATCTTACAATTGTTGAAAGTATGCATTACACTCTGGTTTTCGCAATTATGAACTTGATCAGCTCGGCTACGTTTTCAATTTGATACGATAAACCAATACTTTGTCCTTGTGAATACTCGGTTGTTGTTGCTGTTGTTGTTTTTAACGCCGCACTTGGCAATATTCCAGGTATATGGCGGTGGACAACTTCGTGATCGATAATCTTTAAAAACAAATATTGTATGGTCGCTTCTTTCAAATGCACTCATCGATTAAAAAGATGTAGCAACGCATTTAAAGGAGCAAAAGAATTTTATCCAATTGCAAAATGTAGACGAGCTTAATGCCAACGTCTTCGTTTTATTGGTCTGTATCATAACGGGAATCCGTGATCATTTGTCAAACTTGATCAACGTTAACGTTTGCTGAAATACTATTGACATGTGGAGGTTCACTGCAGATATCTCTGTTCCACATTCATGTTGCGAGAGCTAATGAAATACAAGATGGATAGTTAAAGGAGCAGTGTATTCCGGTACCATCGATGTGCGGCTTCCTGCTATCGGACATTCGTTTATGTGACGACATATGTTAACTCAGGCAACCTCAAGACTATAACGTTTGAAACAATAGTAAACAAGATACTAAAGAAGGAAAATTATGGAGATGTCCGTCGACAGATGAATACTTCAAATATTACAGAATCGTGCACACATGTCCATCAACTTGTTGCCAGTGGTGCTTAAAGAAACCGCCTTAATTGTTAAAAGGAGCTGTTGCTCCACTGGAATGTGCCCATTCTAAATCCAACCCAAAATGTGAGATATTATTTTGTTGTAACCATTAATTCAGGGTTCCGTTGTACAAAGCAATCGTAGCGCTAAATTGACCGTATTTCCCATACATAGACTTGAGGTAGTCTTAGCGCTAAGGTTGTTTTGTACAACGGCACCCTGGTAAATGTAGCCCATACGTTCAGTCAGCTGTTACTGGTAACCAAACTAAGGTTTTGAGTGATGTGAAGGACTATTCCAGGACCAACCTCACAATCCGTGGTGATCTACCTCCTGTTGCTGGCGAACTATAGTCTGTTCTATATTGTGTATTGTGCATATAGTGTTATTTTGTTAATATTAAATGCTAGTTTTAAGTCTAACTGTGATGCTCTAGTTGTTTTAAGACAGGATTTTTGTTATACATTTATTCTTTGTCAATGTCAAATTAGTTCACGATATGGCTGGGGCGGTGGGGTAACCCTGTGGTTAAAGCATTCACTCGTCACGCCGAAGACCCGGGTTCGATTCCCTACATTGGTACAATGTGAGAAGCCCATTTCTGGTGTCCCCCGCCGTGACATTGCTGGAATGTTTTGCTAAAAAACTCACTCACTCACTCACGATATGGCCGAAATATGTGACGTTAAATATTCATTCACTCACATAATTAATATATAATTAATGCGTTATGCAATACGTTAAGTATGTAGTGAATACAAACTAAGTTTTGAGATGTACCAAACTATTGTACATGTAACTTCGAATGTTATAAAACATATATTGCAAATAATATGTTCATCAGTATTATTTTGACCTAGAATCCCTTTTTTTTTTGCATTTACCAAATATCTACATCTTTTGTTCTTGGGGAACGTCATGCAGCTAGAATCCTGACTACTGTCAGGTTAAGCAAGCATCAAACAAATAAACAAATATGGCAGTCGACAATCTTTGCTCTTAAACATATGGAATATCGTGACATTAGTGATGAAATTACGAATAAAGGTAAGATACTGCACGGTGAGTTAGTTAATATTTATCGTGACAACGGCAATATTTCAGCCATATCGTGACGAGAACTATTAATAATTATATTATAGATCAATAAAATTAGAAATTAAAAGCCTGTTGACGAAGAACAGTACTAGTGTATCACAGATATCCACTTAAAACTAGTAATTAAATCTAAACATTTTAACTAGTGTGAGTGAGTGAGTTAATATTTAACGTCACATCGGCAATAGTTCAGCCAAAACCTGACGACAAAGAGTTATGTACTAAGAATAGACATATGTATACTTATTTAAACACCTGCCAGCGAAGGACAGTAGAACGACTAGACTATCACAATTCGATTAAAACTAGTTTGAGTTCAGTGTAAAATGTTAAATCATTTCAAAACATCACAATATAAAATCGGGCTATAGACCGCCAGCAATCTAAGATAGATCACCATACTAGGGACCATGGGGACCTACAGTAGATATTGTACGGACGGCAACGTCTTTACTATATCATAGTGCGTATACCGGATACCGTTAAAAATCGGATACTGTTCTCATGCTTGAGTCAAGTGCTAGTGCACAGAACAGACTTATATACATCCAATAAGGATCATCAAAAACAACATCATAGTGTGTGAATCAATAATTAACACAGTAAATACCTGCAGGACGCCAGCTGATTGCGACGTGGAACAAAATGGATAGCTTATTAAATTAATTAGGAATTGGTTTATCAGTTCACTGTAGAGTGAGTGAGTGAGTTTAGTTTTACGCCGCACTCAGCAATATCCCAGCTATATGGCCGCGGTCTGTAAATAATCGAGTCTGGACCAGACAATCCAGTGATCAACAGCATGAGCATCGATCTGCGCAATTGGGAACCGATGACATGTGTCAACCACGTCAGCGGGCCTGACCACCCGATCCCGTTAGTCGCCTCTTACGACAAGCATAGTCGCCTTTAATGGCAAGCACATGGGTTGCTGAAGACCTATTCTACCCCGGATCTTCACGGGTCAGTTCACTGTAGAAAGGCAGGATGAAGCATCCTTTGTTTTTGTTGATTGATGTCTTATTTCGATGGATTTGGAATTATAGAAAATCATTCAATTTCTGTGTTCTCACTAAGTAAGACACATTATAGTCAAATACATAAGACCGGATACTGCCATATTCAAAACATAGTGTTAAAGGTCAATTTAATTCGAAAAATTTCCTCAGTATTTTAGCCTTTGACAAACAAGGTCATCTTCCACATACCAGTGCAATTTTCTCCATTCAGCAGCATCGGTTCTGTTATTATATACTCAGCAGCAAAAAAACGTCAGAACGAATTCAAAATTAGATAGGCACTGTAATCAAATCAATACAGAAACGAACATAATAAGCGGATCATAAAACATTATTTGTGTACAATATCTTGACACACCAATGGATAACTCAGCACAATTTCAAGGTATTACGTCAACGTTTGCAGTCCATATAGGCTCTTGACTTCAGTATCTAGTGTGACCACCACGAGCGGCAATAACTGCAGCACAGCGTCCATGCATGGAATGCTCTAATCGATTGGTGAAGGCCACTGGCACCTGGAACCACACTCTGAGAAAGGCCTGGCGTAATAAATCGGCTGTGTTCGGCCTTGGTATGACATTATTCAGTCTCCTCTGAATTTCACCCCAAAGATGTTCAATTGGGTTTAAATCCGGACTAATGGGTGGCCACTGCATAATGTTGACACCGTTCTGCTGTAGGAAGTCCCGTGTAGCAGTATGGGCCCGGGCGTTATCATGCTGGAAAATGTTGTTCCGGTGACGTGCGAAATGTGGTATGACGTGGGGTCTGAGAGCTTGGTCGATGTAGCGCACCGCTGTGATGCTGCCTCCTCTCTCTGGACCAAGGATCTGGAACACCACAGGACCTACTCTCTGGTTCAGGCCTATTCCACTCCATACCATGATGCTTGCAGATTTGGTGTGACGAAAACTATGACCAAAGTCCTATAGTGAGTTTATGAATCAGGCAGTTCCTACTATTTATTAAATACCTTCCATATATATCTGCTGATGAATTTTAAGTGTTATTCGTTTATAACGGCACAACGTCGTCTTACACTGTTTTAGAAACTCAAATATTAATCACAACATTACGCTTTTTCAGATAAGAAGTTTGTTCGACTGACTCTCAACATATTGGTTTGCAGTATTAAAGCCATTAAAGACGTTGCCGTAGTAACATAAATGAAACAACTCGCTAACTGTCCCTTTAACAGCTTCATTGCTATACATTAGTAAAACGATAACATCCAATAAAACGTGTATCGAAATATATATGTGTAATTCATTGCTGCATGCGGAACTTATGTATCCATATTACATAATGGCGCTGTCGCCAGTGAATTACTCAAAGTGAGTGAGTTAATATTTAACGTCACATCGGCAATATTTCAGCCATATCGTGACGAGAACATATTTGAAATGGAATTATCTGTATATTATAAAAACTTGTCGACGAAGGACAGTAAAACAACTAGAATATCACAATTAGAATTAAAACTAGCGTGGAAAGTTAAAACTAATAACACTAGGTTAACAATACAAAAGGAAAACAGGCTATACATCGCCAACAACGGAAGGTAGATAACTAAAGTAGGGACCATGGGGACTTACAGTACCTTTGCTACCTGCATGGACCCTAGTTGGATTTACACCATCCCTTAAGCTGCTGGCGATTGTAAGAAATTTTAGCCAAACTTCAAATAACAAGAATAATACGTTTAAAAATCCTGGCAAGTTTATATTGACTTTGACAATTTTGGGATTTAAGTACCGAATTACTCAAAGTCTGACACATTCATAATGTAACAACTCTGAATAGTTTGCGTGCGGAAGTGTTATTTGCCCACTTATGTTAATGCAACCACCCCCTTACTAGGATTTCGTAAATCATTTAGTCTGAGAATTAGGGATATATATGGCAAATGTGGCGACATAATTTAGCCTCATTAAGTGACACAAGGTTGTACTTCAATAATGAGGACATTCTATGATTAGAAAGTTACTTGGTAGATATTGATATTGTTAAATATAGAACTGCATTAAGTAAATTTAGATTAAGTTCTCACAATTTAATGGTTGAAAAGGGTAGATGGTTTACGTCAAATTACAATTCAATGAAAGATTATGTCCATTTTGCAGGAAGGACATTGAAGATGAATACCATGTTGTGATGGTTGGTCCTAAATATGAACTTTATAGAAATAGATATACATCAAGGTTAGTTTACAAACATCCAAGTATGGCTAAACCTGCTGAGCTGTTGCAAGACGAACGAGCTGGAGCAACAGTTGAATTTGTTTGAATCTTTAGGTATCTTAAGGTTCTGCCACCTTGAGGGGAGGGGAGGCGGGTGGGCGGAGTGAGAAATGTTATGCACATGTGAAATTATTATTGAATGTAAAAGCGATTGACCTTTGGTCTAAATAAACATCCATGTGCCTAACCGCCCCCCACCCCCATCCCCCCAAAAAAACACCAGAGAAAAACCAACAACAAAGACAAAACAAAAATAGCAAATGAATAAAATACTGCTTCCTGATTTGTAGAGGTAATTGGGAACACGCTTATTTGATCAAAAAGTTATTATTGTTAGTTATTTATCCAAATACTCGTGTAGATACATGTATGTGACTATAATTGGGAATTCGAAGACTTTGTTTTACTGCTTTGGGTGGCTGAGAACAAAGACAATTTTTCTGTCAGCAGTTTTTTGCAGATTGAAGTTCAGCTAGGAATGTACACATCCGCTCTATTCAGAGCATGTTGCTTTTGAAAATAACAAATCACTGTATACATTAATATTAAACTGTTCACATTGTGATATCATCTAATGAATTGCAACCTTTGCTTTTGGAACGTTCTGCGACAGCGCTACATGTTGTTGCTATACGGAAAGAGTAAACAATACAAAAGTATGCATGGACAGCACACTGTGTGTCAAAGATGTAAATTTCCGTTAGACTTAACATTGTAGCAGCCTCAGAGTTACATGTGTAGTTGGCATTGATATTTTAATTCCGTAACGAGTGAAAAATATACAAAAATATTCAAACATCACAGAAATACCACTCAATATATGAAGAACAATTTGTTGTGGTAGCCGATATATACTACCACAAAAATTCAAGCTCATCATGTCAGACGTAAGACGTTTTCGGTACAAATATGCTGTAAAAACTTACAAGTAAATGTAATATTCTCCTTCAGTGATGTGAAATATGAATCTCAACGTAAACTCATAAAAACGAAAAGTTGAGTCATAAGGTATCTGAACTTTTGAATCGACGTATTGTCTTTTGGGCCAGCTTGATAACATAGTCAAAATCCCATGGGTATCCCATGTAAGAAACCTTTTGTTCTTTCATTGTTTTGGTTTTATTTGGATGAATCAAACCACTGGAAATATCAGTCTCTTCTTATAATTTTAAGAACCCAGCTATTAATATGTTCTTTCAGGATTGGCATTTTACACTTTACGATAGCTCAAGGAATGATTGCTACAAAACATTTATAAGTTTAATTAAGCCTGAAAATATTTGTCTATTTTATATTCTTTACATTTAAAAAAATATGTTTATCAAATTTAGATTTGGTTTATTAGATGGAATGATAAATGAAGGCAGGAAAATGTCCTTAGAAAAGAACAGGAGCATTTGTCTGTTGTGTAAATACGCAGTTATTGAGAATGTAATCCACTCTATGCTAGTTTGTCCATCCTTCTCCATTCTCAGAACCAAATACATTCCACACCCGTTTTTGTCAAAACAACCTGCTTTAGCTTTATATACTTAGTGATCTCTCAAAATGATAATGTTATTTTTAATCTGTCATTATTTATCAAACATAGTATACGAGATTTTGAAATGAACTCTCCAAAAATTATAACGCTAGAAAGTAATTTTACAATTGCCTGCCATTTTGTTCTCTCTATTATGTCTATTGTATATTATTTGTATGTTGTATATTGTTTGTAAATTTATATTTGTGTGTGGGCCGGAGGCCTTAAATATACTATTAAGAAAAAGAAACACATAACCCAGACATCTTTTGCGAACATTTCAAACAGGTATAATTAGTCCACATATAAACTTTAGTACATGAATGTTTACATCAGTTTAGAAGAAGAAAATGTCTATACAACCAAGTGGATAATTCTAGGTAAGGGAGACGTTGAGCGAGATGGTGACGACGTAGCACGGTCCCGAAGTCGGGTCTACTGGCTCTCAGTCCAATCTTTCTCAACCTGTTCCCTACATTTTGACCGGATATCCTCCGAAGTCAAGGCACCCCGGCTGCACTGCTCTCACCCGTGGCAGTACGATCACGAAAATGAAGTACCCGGATGTACCAATCTTGGGCCTGAGTGGTGTCTCGAGGTCTGCCTGTCATCTGTCATAACGGTCTTTTGTTATACCCGTTTGGTTGTAACGAGCTGCAACATTCAGACGCCTGGCAACAGAAGATTGGTAATCTTAAGCCATGAGCCAGACAATTTTTCGGTACCACTCAGAGGGACCAAACACTTTTATTTCTTTTCAAAGTTGTTATGGTCTCTACACATGAACAATGTGTGATGGACATGTTGGTTTGCTAGCTCAAACTCAAAACGGGGCTAAATCAAAGATGGCAGCCCCCAAACCCCCAAATTAAAAAATAAAATGTCAATTCCAAACTCTAATCATGAGTAAAGTTCAACAAATAGGTTGGAAATGAAAAAGGGGGGTAAAATAGTGCTAAAGGTGCGTTCTCACGGTGCGACTTGTAGTAACAACTTGTAGCATACGACTTGTAGTAACAACAAAGATCGTAACGACTTTGCTATTTGTGTACTTTTTAAGTCGTATACAACTCTGTCAATCAATCTTTATTTTCTTTGTAGTGGAGGCCACAGGCCCAGGCTACACTTCAGGATTTCAGAGCGGCACATATGTACACATATAGTTCAGAAGACAATAAGTTAATTTACAGAGTATACAAAAGGAAATATGATATTATTGGCATAGAAGTGAATCTCTAAGTTTCATTGCATTGTGTATATAAATAGCTAGGTTTTTTACAGTATATGGATTGCGAGTTGACATGAGCATATTAAACTTATGAATAGTGGGATTCGAATAAACTCGTATCTCGCCAGATTCTCACGTATGACTCTGCATCATGGATTCGTCGAGCGAAGAAGAAACGCTAGCCATGATAATGTCGGTCTACATATGGCAGTCACTAAAAAAAAAGGGAAAGCCTAAATCGGTGTGGGTCCGTAACTGGATTCTTAGGCGGAACAGGGCTGGAGCGTATAATTCGCTTCTTCGAGAGCTTGAACAGGAAGATTCACTGAAGAATTTTCTCTGTATGGACAAAGCAAATTTTGACATTTTGTTGGTGAAAATTTCTTCATACATCGAGAAGTGTACCCCCATGACAAACAGTATTCCCGTTGGAGAGAAACTGGCACTCACCTTACGATATTTAGCAAGCGGTAAGTTAGATGGTGTGTAAATGAAGCACAGATACTGCTGTTTCATTTCTCAAAGAATCCAACTAATCTGTTAGGTTTCAAGTACGTATCAGTACAAAATATTATCAAAAGACACGGCAATTCCTACTTCCGCGGGTTGACTAAAGAAAAGGCACTCTGCATTAAGTATGAGGGGGGATAATCAGTAGATGTTCTTGAGTGAGTGTCATTAGTGGTGAACCTCTGGATTATTCAAATGAGTACAAGAAGTGGGATATAAATATAGCAAATGTAGATATAAATTGAAACATTTATGTAAATGTTCATGCAAACGAAAGCGTTTAATGGTGGGAATGGTGTTTCAGCTAAAGAGAGCTCAATTTTACATATGTTACAGAATGTTCATAATTTAAGGATAGGGGGGCGGTGATGATGGTTTGAATGGAGAATTATTTACAATGTGAATGACACCCCCCTGGAATTTATGTACAAAGTAAGTGATCTCCCCTGCATGTCATGTACAAAAACAAAAAAACCCACCTCCCCTCTTCCTTATGTGTGTGTTTCAAGCATAACATTATAATATTTCTATTTACAAAATTGCTTTCCCCCCCCCCCCCTTAAAATCATTGATATTTAGGCCTCATTTTCAAACTCACTTTCCCAAATCAGTGAATTGTTTGAAAGCTCGAGCCCAACCTGCTTACCAAACAAAATGTCACAATCATTTGTGTCACTTTTGGCTTTCTTTTGAGATATCATTTCCAATGTCTTGTACATTAGATTCTTTAATTCAGCACTTCCTGTTGCTTGGTTCCTCCTCTTCTTGGGGTGTGGTTGAGCCTTGTCTGTTTTTGAACAGGCATAGATTCTGCATAACCACTGCAGTGTGATGTCTGAAAAATATGTTGCCAGGAGTTAGTTCTATGAAAACAAGTCAGATGCAATCTTTTACATGTTTGACAAGATGTTGAACTTTATAAGTTTTTATATGTTTAATTGAGTTAAACAAGACAACGATATACATGATTTGATAAAATTATTTTCAGGTTCCTACTACTGAACGTGACTGGGGCAACATTCAGGACGAATTCATGGCAAAGTGGCAGTTCCCCCATTGAAATTGGTGCAATTGATGGCAAGCATATTGCAATTCGGGCACCCAACAATACAGGATCTGAATTCTTCAACTACAAGACATTTTTCAGTATCATCCTATTGGCATTGGTGGATGCAAATTGGAAATTTATATTTGTAGATGTGGGAGCCAATGGCAGAGCTGGAGATGCAGCAGTGTATGCTAATTTTAGATAGCAAACTTCTTGACTGCAGCCATTGTTAGTGGGATCCATGGTGCAAAAATGCTCCCTGTGCATTCATTGTCATCAGTAATTATGATGGGTGCTGCTCTACTGCTATTATAAATGGATTCCCTGGTCTGAAAGAAATGTACACTGTATTAACTAACACAAATGGGTATTTGGCAACATGATGATAAATGTTTTCATTCATGAACATTTGACAAACCCTATGAAATACTTAAATCATTGTTTGCACTTTGCAAGGAATAATACAACTGAAACTCACTTGTCATTTCATGTCTTGTCTATTATTTCCGCCCTGATGTTGCTGGAATATTGCTAAAAACGGCGTAAAACCAAACTCAGTGAGTGAGTGAGTGTATATTATTTATCCTTTTTCAATTGGTGATGTAAAATCAACCTTTACACACACATCCCAGCAGAATCACCCCATGAATCAATAAAAAAATATACCACTCTCCTGTATTCACAAAATCAGTCAATGCAGTAATTGCTACCTTCACTCAAAATTAAATAAATCAAACATTAAATCTCATCAAAATCAACATTTTCAGGTAAATTCGATTTTTTACTTGTGCAATTGTGTAAAATCATGTTATCAACACTGGCGTTACATATTTTGATGATTGTGTGAACACAATAGGTAGTTAATAGATTTTAAAAATACGTCTATGCCTTTCTTTTTTCTTTCTTTTTTTTGGATAGTATATAATAAACTCTTTTGACTTGACTTGACTAAATTTTATATCGGAAAACATCCCTTATAAACAAATCTGATTGCGACTGTACCAATATTTATACTAACACTGTGTATAGTAATTATGTTAACTTTTCAAAATTCAAAATATTTTCAATGTAAATGAAAATGACATTTTCAAAAGTTAGATACTGACATATTATTTGTTTACGCTGAGCAAGTTGTGAGCAAATCAATGCAATTGGTAAGACAATAGTCCAATCGTCAATGCTGAGACCACATCTGTCTGAACAACAAAACCATCATCTTTTTTTAGACTCCGGTCTTGCCTTCGGGCACACAAAAGAGACTCCTCCAGTCATCCATTAAACCTGAACATTTTAGAACCTCAGAACATCTTTCTATTGGCCAATGCGACAGCGTCTTTTGTTGGCATAGCAGATACCACAAACGCCTATTCCACAACAGCTCCCGAGAACCCGTTATATGTGCTGATTATCGTCTATAACGAGTTCCAACCAAGAATCAAGAATCACATTCGGGATCTCAAGCAGACTCGGTGGGACACTCAGGTAAGAACCAAACAATTTCATGAATTTGAACCAACAGTCTGTCGATCTACTTTAAGTGCCAGTCGTGACATGACGATGTCATATTGATGTTAAATTTTCAAAAGTGATGTGATTTCAGTTTGTAAAGGACGTCAGTATATTTTAAACTTTGTCTCGTCGCTATGTGGATGAAATAATGCTGAGGCGACGTATAGCATTAACTCACACAGTAGTATAGGGACTGACAGTTTCAGACCAGTCAGACCTATGAGTCATATTTATTATGATTCATTGCCCCTGTGGGAGTAATAATATGGTTGGAACAATGGTGGACAATCGTTCGACGTCTGTAAAATTATAAGTGAAAAACGTATTAGAGCTAGGATATTGTTAGAAGTATAACGGAAATGAACGAGCAAGAGAAAAAAAGATACCAGGATTTAGCATGGATTCACTTGGAAGAGCGGATTATTTTCTGCGAAGGATGCCTTCTTAGCAGGAAAAACGGCAAAGATTATAGGTTGGAGTAAGCGGGAAGGAAAAAGATCCAGTAGAGTCGTGCTCAAAAACGAAACCGTTTTGGGGCAAACAAAAGTTTGGAGGCGGAGTTCAACAAGAATTCTCACTATGTGGAAACACAAATACAGATTAGCTTTTAAGCAACCGGTCATGACATCGGTTTTAGAGCCAGCCCAAACTTTCCGGAAAGGTGGAAAAAACATAACTTGGTATCCGACCACTTTAACGGTTTTACCGAATACAATAAAACGAACGGATTGTTTTATGGATCTACATTAACATCGATGAAACAGTTTAGCGTGAATTTCCTATGATTTCATTGGTTTTGGATAGGAATGCCTGCCGGGCTTGTTGTCTGCCCTGTTCTATGAGCTTTTTTTTTACCTGTTCGTCGATGTCATTCATCTTGCGGACCTTAGTTCGAATCTCTTGTTTCAATCGGTGGTACTTGGCTAGTTCTGCTGAGACCAGACGGAACTCTTCCTATTGGTTGAGCGCTGTTGATATATGATCCTCGATCGTGTTCAGCTTGGCACCAGCTATAACCCTGATCGCATCGTGCTTCAGTGCTATACGTTGCAGCCGACATGAAATGAATTTGAGAGCTATTCCCGCCAGCCCCGATACCCCGGCTGCTATGATTTATATCTAAAACGGATATTTGTAATTGGGTGATGGTGCCTCGAGTTAATTTCTTGTACTGCAAGGAAGGAAACGATTCGGTTCTGCCGTCCATGTATTTTTCCGTTTATCACCGGCACGGCTCTCAGCAGGGTCGAAGGCAGATCGCCTTGAATATTATCAGTCGTGCTTATCTGATCTAGATGAATGCACAGTTCACGATAGGGAACTAGGTCGGGTAGTTTTGAGCCCGTCACGGTGGTTTGCGGTGATATATCGTTCGACATCAACCTGAGCGTTCTGGCCAGAGGTGGGCCGAGTCTCAAGTTGTCTTTTCCATTGTTCGATAGCACGATCGTGTCGTTGGAATCGTTTAGTTTGCGTTCGGTTCGTAGAGGTTTGAAGATTTCATTGTTGATAGAGCATATGCTCTAGTAACCGTGGGTCAGGAGGTGTTGCTGCCTGTTGACACAGCATTTGTTGTTGTTGTCATCGATGTTAGTCCACTGAGGGTGGTACTTGATATCGCAGAGAGCGACCTCGAGTTGACCTGACAGACTGAGTTTGGTTTTACGCCGCTTTTAGCAAAATTCCAGCAACATCACGTCGGGGGACACCAGAAATGGGCTTCACACATTGTGCCCATGTCGGGATTCGAACCCGGGTCTTTGGCGCGACAAGCCAATGCTTTAACCATTGGGCTACCCCAAGGCCCCCGAGTTGACCTGATGTGTTATTAATCGCATACAGCAGTTGAACGGGCTCGCCGCTGCGTATTCCCTGCAGCGTCACGTACATTTTGAAAATATATATATTATCATTTTTTCTTTAAAATTTCAATTATGTACACACCGGGAGTATTTTATCCGAAAAGTGATCATGTAAGTGTTGCCGATCTCACGCAAAGGAAGATTGTGGTCGATGCAGAGGATGATGGTTCCCATTTCCAAGCTCGGTTCATCGACGTGTTCAAATATTACAGGTTGTCTGTCATGACTTTGAAAGTGGTACACGCTTGGTTTAACAACCCAATGCAGTTCTGGCAGAATCAACTCAACTTTGCCGTGTGGTTTGCCACGACTAGGTGCAGCGTGGCTTTCAACTACACTCGTCGTGATGACCTGAGTCAATCCCTGTTCCCACGTGTACTACCAGATCACATGCATCTTGAAAGAAATCAGCGCACCGATTCCGCAAGATAAGGTGTGGAATGCGCCGAACAATCCGTACAATCTGCGGGCTTACAAACGTATTTGCGCTGAATTTGAAATCTATCGCATGTTGATCCACTAAGTCCATGGCGGCCGCCATATTGGATCTAAGTCAATGTAACACGTGTTCTGATTTGATAGAAAAAAGGGAGATAACCGCTTAGGGATTTTTACGAGAACCGGGAAATATGTTCGTATTAGAACAGAGGTTACGTGGGAAAATATGACTTGAGTAATCTTTGTGGGAAGAGACTGGTCCGTTACTGACCCGTGACGGTCTGGGTTAGAATAACCTATGCTTGTCGTAGGAGGCGACTAACGGGATTGGATGGTCAGCTTCGCTGGCTTGGTTAACACGTGTCATGGGTTCCCAGTTGCGCAGATCGATCGCAGGAAGATTGTGGTCGATGCAGAGGATGATGGTTCCCATTTCCAAGCTTGGTTCATCGACGTGTTCAAATATTACAGGTTGTCTGTCATGACTTTGAAAGTGGTACACGCTTGGTTTAACAACCCAATGCAGTTCTGGCAGAATCAACTCAACTTTGCCGTGTGGTTTGCCACGACTAGGTGCAGCGTGGCTTTCAACTACACTCGTTGTGATGACCTGAGTCAGTCCCTGTTCCCACGTGTACTACCAGATCACATGCATCTTGAAAGAAATCAGCGCACCGATTCCGCAAGATAAGATGTGGAATGCGCCGAACAATCCGTACAATCTGCGGGCTTACAAACGTATTTGCGCCGAATTTGAAATCTATCGCATGTTGATCCACTAAGTCCATGGCGGCCGCCATATTGGATCTAAGTCAATGTAACACGTGTTCTGATTTGATAGAAAAAAGGGAGATAACCGCTTAGGGATTTTTACGAGAACCGGGAAATATGTTCGTATTAGAACAGAGGTTACGTGGGAAAATATGACTTGAGTAATCTTTGTGGGAAGAGACTGGTCCGTTACTGACCCGTGACGGTCTGGGTTAGAATAACCTATGCTTGTCGTAGGAGGCGACTAACGGGATTGGATGGTCAGCTTCGCTGGCTTGGTTAACACGTGTCATGGGTTCCCAGTTGCGCAGATCGATCCGCATGCTGTTGATCACTGGATTGTCTGGTCCAGACCTGATTATTTAAAGGCAGGCGCCATATAGCTGTAATATTGCTGATTGCGGCGTAACACTAAACTCACTCGCTCACTTGTTCGTTACTGTTATTCTACCTTTTGACGGGTATGAACACCTTTGCATTCACACTTGATATATTGTTACATTTCAGAGAGAACGCTTTTGGACTAACTTCCGAAAAACAATATATTGATAATGAAGCTTCTCCAAGTCTGCCTGACAGTAACTGTTCAAACGTGGGTCATAGCTGCTGAAAGAAGAAGAGTTCGGTTCACGAATTGTCAATCAACAAAAACGAACAGTGATTTCATAACAATCACGCCAGCTCGTAGCAGGATTGAGTGCTCTGTGCTCTGCTTAAATGATCCACACTGTCTGTCAGCCTCTTTTTGCAAGACAGCGGATGGCTACACGTGTCAGCTGAGTGGATTTTACGCAGACGGAAGCTGCTCCGAGTCTGTTGCTAAAGGCGATTGTAGTCAGACGGCTCTTGTGAGTTTTTTTAAATATTAAACAGTAGCTAACGGTTATATCAGTGCGTATCAGCACAATGTGTGAAATATACGAAGCGAAGCTAGGCTTTAGATGACAATGACAGCGATGCCACCGTGCAAGAATTTGTCTTTGTGGTTGCAGTAAAGTTGTAGTTAAAGTTTTTGTTTTCTTTGATACGATTGGCTGGAACATGAAAATCCTGAAATATGACAATCATAAATATGGTGTACAATCTCTCATATAGTCGTCTCTTTTAGGTGTGCTGGCAGTCTATAGCCTGTGTCTCCCATAATAGCCTCATTTGTGTTTACGATATCAAAGTAATTGTGTATATAGCTTAGACATGTCACTCATTAATAAACAGTGAGTGAGAGAGTCAATATTTAACGTCACATCGGCAATATCTCAGCCATATCGTGACGAAAACAATTCATAGAAAAAAGTGAAATGAGAACATTTGACATTGAAATGGGCATTAATAAACAGATAGTTCATTACAGTAATATCTGCGATTCATTTAATATGTTTGAAACCTACAGCATGCATTGCTCCTATTTTGATTACTCATTATTCTACTCTCAAATCGTTTATACGAGACTTGGAACTAAATGTATACATTTCACTGTTAATTTTGAACTTATATTGTTGACTAGGTAACGCGAATATGTATTCACGCATGTTATTCACAGATTTTGACTAAAAAAGAACACTAACTCATTTTATCTTCATTGCTGAACAGATGAATCCTTGTGAGAATGCAGGGACTTTCTATCCTGAGAACAGGACCTGTCGCTGTGTTGAAGGGTTTGTCGGGGATTACTGCCAAAGGCGCTACCGAGGTACGTACTTCACATTACATATTATGACAAACAGAACCTCAACTTTTGCCATTTTTCATTTGCAGATATTTTGCTTTTTTTATATTTCTCGATTTCCATGGAAACAATTTGGTCTCTAAAAGAGGGATGGACTTTGTTTCCAGAGCACAGCTGGAACAAAACCCAATATTTTTCAACAAAACTTGGCACATATATCAAACAGATCCCGAAGTGATGTTGGCATTTCTAACGATTTGGACTTAGTCTCGAAAGGGAGCGGGCGGATTTCGTTTCCAGAGCACCGCTAAAAAGCGTCAAAGACTATCTACCCCAGCTTCCTTCATGAAATTACCAAAGGTTGAATTTGTCCCTTTTGCTATTTAGGAATTTTAAGAAAATAGATATGTTTCCTGTATCCATGGCAACAAGTGTGACTTAGACTGTGTTCATAGTTGTGTGTTTGAACGGACTGTATATCTAAAAGTAATAGTTATTCCTTCATGTAAGTATGCGCACACAAGGACGAGGTTGTCAAAAGGTGGCTTTTGATTCTTGTATACGAACAGATATTCTGTCATCCAGCTGAACTTTAAGTAACTGTCAGATGATTTGTTCTTTCAACTTTATTGGTGCCGGGGGGATTTATCAACTTCTGATGACTCTTGTTTAAATATAATG